ATAGATATTAATGTAAGTTCCTATCTCTGCACTTTACATCGATCGCTTTTTCACACAGTCTCTACTGATTAAAACTAAAGTGCATGTGTATATTTGTGTGTATGTGTGTGTGCATACACATAAAATTGTTGGTATTAACACTATGAAAGTGCTATGAAAAATAGCACTATTGGGAACTCCCTTATTAATGAAGAAAGTAAAAATCAACTATGGAAAATGCCTTAGTGTCTGAACCCATAATTCTCCATCTCTAAAATTAATACAAACTTTGCTACTTTAGTTCATGTTAGTGACATGTTCAAGTTCTCTTCTCACATCGATGCAAAGAGGATCTCGAAAGCAAATATTTCTCTCATTTGTTTTCAAAATATTTTCAAATTAAAGAGCTGATCTGAGTTTAGAAGGATCTAAAATTGTGAAATGGAAAGTTAAACAAACTAAAAATAGAGATGTTCATGTTGAAAATGGCCAAACATCACCTACTGATTTTAGTCCTTCCTTTTTTTACTAGTTAAAATATCCCACAGTTTCAGTTTTATTGGGTTGGAGCTATTCAATGAGGAAAAAGGCCAGCTAATTTTAAGGGGAGCTACATAGATAACAACATGGAAGTTGTGAGAGAAGCAAATGCATGAGCCATGTGGAGCAAAGCAAGGTTTAAATTGAAGTTAGCTGCACCCCCTGCCTGGGAAGGCTCCTGGATTGCTGCAGCTCCCTTTGCTGAGAGCAGATCTAACACCTATGAGGTCCCTGCTTGCAGCCTGCCTCAAGTGCTCTGCTCAGCTCCCCTCTGCTGTAACATAACCACGTGGGAACGTTTGACATTGTGTGTTTTAATCTGTCAAAAATTATAAAATAGATGCCATTGTTTTCCTTGTAATTTAAGGTACATTCTTTTTGTGGCTGTACAAATGGTATCTCTAAGAACATATTCTAATACCAGTATAATAAACAACAAAAAATATTTACTGGAATGGCCTGTTTCTTAAGACATAGATCACAACTCTTTAAGAATTCAGTCAGATTTAGGGGCTCAGTAATTCTAAAACAAAAAATCGATATGAGAAAAAGACTGGCTCCCAATAACTCTGTTATTAAATCTCTACATCAGCACAGGCATTTACACTTTCATTAACTTTTCTGTGCTTTAAGTCAGATACCCAAATCAGTATAAAATGTTTGGCAAGGGAGTGGTGAAATGTATTCAGCTTTAACCCAGTGATTATGGTTCACTCGTTGCAAATAACTCCTTCATCAAGGCCATCAGGCTAATTATTAACCTCTTCCATCTACAAATAAAGAAATACCTTCAGTCACAAGGTGGCAATGCAGAAAGGTGACCCAGGCCATTTGTGGGCGCTTGGAAATGCACAGGCTGCTCCGAGCCAGGGGAAAGGCCAGGAGCTGCCTGGCTGCGCAGGGATCGTGGGGAACACTTCCCATCGTAGCTGTGACATCTTGGTGTCCTGAGTAGGTGTCTCGATGTCCCACGTAGGGGTTGTACTGCTCCTACGAGGCTGCAGATCTCACCGGCCGCATAATGCAACAGATTGCAGGGAAAACCTTCCCGAGGAAGTATCAACACTTCATCAAAGTGCCTGTTATCTCCAAAAAAATTAATGAAGAAAAACAAAAAGGGCATGACTGCATGTGAACCTGCACTGCTCTAACCTGGGAAGCCTCCAGGTGCTACGAGGTGCCCCGGCAGCCCCGGTGCTCCCACCACCTGGCTGGTCTCAGGCGGACGAGGGGCAGGCGCAGAGCAGGCAGCGCCGGCCGCGCGCGGCGAGTTCGGCCTGGCCGCACACGAGTAGAGCAGCAGGCACCGGGCGCCCGCCCTGCCATCGTCCGCGACCCTTCACCAGGCCCTGCGGCAGGTAAGAGCGGCGCTTCACGGGGGAGGCTTCTCTAGGCCGTGCTGTGGGGAAAAGGATTTTGATCGGAACAGTCTCCCGAGAGAGGAATTATCGAGGCCAACAACACCAAGCGGAGAAATCGCCTGGCTCTGGCAGTGAGGAAAATGAGGGAGGGTAGAGGGAGAGGCTTGAGGGAAGAAGGCTGGAACATCACTAAAGAATCACCAGTGCACGGAGATGAAAGTGGACTAAAACCTGTGTGAGGGGAAGGAGTCAGGAGACAAAATAAATAGCTTAAATAGGAACAGAAGAAAACAGTAAAATAGGCTCAGAGAAGTCAGCATTCCTCCTGCCCTGCCTTCCCTCTCATAGCAAAGGGAAGGGCTCAGATTAGCCCTCGGAGCGAGGTGTCTAACACCTCTCCAGGGACCTCACCAGCCCGAAACCCAGGTCCAACTGCAAGGGGGAAGGTCCTGGGGCCACCCCTTGTCACACTAGATCAACCCATTTTTTTCAGAATACAAATCATCCCCGTATAGACCACTATTAAAACAGATTGCTTTATGTGAGCTGTTAAATCATATTTTGCGCTGCAAGGTTTGAGAATAAAAGTGCTGGAAGGCAGATGTGTTTGACTAAGCAACCACAGAACTTTGTATTTCATAAATATATATATAAATGTATATACACACACATATATATATATAGTAAGTAAAATAATTCCTCATAGGTACAGAAAACATCAGGCATCAGCACACTCAAGGAAATTTTATCCAAGGAGCTTAGACTGGAGGTAGTTGTGATCCCCTGCCTGCCTTCGTTTACTGACCAAGGAAACTGTGTGCCAACTCCTTCATGTTAGCACCAAGGGGTGTGAGCTGGACGTCACTGGGGCTCATGCGCCAATTTAAATCTCAACTGCTGAATCTGTCATGCTGTGACCAATTCTCTATTTTTTTCTCCTTAATTTCAATATGAATCAGCCCTCAAAGACAAAAGGAAAATACAGGCCTGCTGTTAAAATAATAAAATTGCTGAACTTCAGCTAAGGCCCCATCTTATCACTCCTGAAATGAGTCATTTTGTTCTGAAAAATAGGCACCAGCCGTGGGACTGTATCAAGCTTTCATAAGTACCACATAACTTAGAAAAAAAAAAAAAAAAGATCAGCAAAAAAGTGGCAATAAAAAAATAGTGCTATAAGCAAAGTTTGCTATTCTGATACACCAAGGTACGATCACTGACATAAGAGTCACTAGTAAATCTGGTTTTATGCATTCCAAACAGTCACATCAAAAGCAAGTGTGTTATTCCCAAACTTGGCAGTTACTGCTTTCAAATCCCAGTTCAGAGCAACGGTTGGGAGAGCTCTCCGTACAGAGGACTTGCTCCTGCCTCTAATAAAAATTTCCATCTGCCTCTAACACGATCCCAAATAAGGGCAAATGGAAAAACAGGAGCACGTCCTCGCTGTTAGCACGATCAATACTATGGCCAAAAAGCAGCATCTATTTAATAAACGCAATGTAGATTGTTTTATTTGACCTTCTGTTCACAAAATAATTTTATTATATGTATGAAAGCAGCATACAGGCAATAAAATTATGAAAACATTCACAATACATAAATACACAGACCTGATGCAGGATGTATATAGTTTGTTAGATTTTTTTCCCTCTCAGTTCTCTTTTACTGACAACACATTTTTGATATACGTTATGAAAAGTTTCTCCAAAGAGCATTGGCTCTCATTCAGAAAACAAGTAGCTTTCTTTAAATGTTGTTGAATATTAACACCCAATGTTCCTGTTGCTAAGGTTCACCGATTTTTTGGCATTACAAAGGGAAAGCAGCAGGGAAGGACAATGAAAAAGTAGCTTTTTTTTTTTTGAATAAAACATTAGCAACTTTTTTGGAGCTCACAGGATGGCTTTGAGGTGGGGACTGCAGTTCCATCCATGTTTAGAAATGTCTTAATCCAAAATGGGAATGAGGCACTATTCCTTCTTGAATGGACTACAGGCATGGTAATTACTAAATTGTCATGTCCTCCTAGTTCCCAAAGCAAAGCTCCAAGTACCTCATTTTTATTTCTGGCCGTGATACGGGAGCAGACAGACAGCATGATCATTGACTCCGGGTGTTACTGCAATAATACAGATGACAATGAAATTTGGCATGTTTACTACCATTATAATCAGTTGTGTTTGTTCAGAAAAGATATCCAAGACTTGAAATAAGAAAAGTCTGAGAAAGCTGTTTATCATACATAAATACAAAACATTATATACTAATAAATGTTACCTAAGAAGCTTTTCTTCTCAAATTGGATCCTTGTTAAGGTTGTAATTGTATTTAAGGTATTTACAGCTCCACAAACTTGACATTCTAGCAAAGTCTTTGTAACATGAAACTTTTTAAAAATAAATAGCAGCAATTTATTTTATTTCTGTAAGGGAAGAGAATTCATAACTCAGTCAACTCTGGTCCTATCTTTTGAAAGAAATCCTACTAAAATAAAAAAAAAAACTCACAAGCAAACAAATTCCACACGGCATCAGTTTTGTTGATTCCTTCATTTCTTGCTGAGCTTCTTAACATTCCTTCATTTTCCTCACCAGCTCTCCAGACTATCAGAGCTTTATTAAAGTGCTGACTGGTTGACTGGTCAAAATGCAATTATGACACTCCAAAAATATCCCATTATTTAAACATCTTAACATAAATAAAGCTAAATCTGTTATAACATATGAAAAATATCAATTTAAACAATAAATAAATAAAACCAGTATCAACATATTACCTCCCAAAGCTTTAAAAATATCCATTCTCATTATAAGGCTCAATTATTTTTCAGAAATAATTTTAAGAAGGCATCTACCTATCTTTACAATCCCTCAGCCTTTAATCAGGACCTGTTAACACCCACTATCACAAGACACAGCAATCTTTTAACTTCTAGTAAACATTAATCTTTAAATACTTAACATTTATCTTTTACCTCATTTCAAGCCAGAAATTTGCTTCTCTAAATGTAGAGATGAAGCAATATTTTCTTTGCTGCATTGTTCTTTGCTTCACTGCACTGTATCCAAATCTGTATATTTTACTCAGTATGAAAAACACAGTTTAGCATCCCTTTTCCCCCAGTTTCCAATATCTTTTGCTGTTTATTGTTTGAAATGTTAAGTTTGATTTGAATGCCAGGAAAATTTATTCTGGGCTTTGTGTAAATGTGTTTTTCTCTCTAGATCTTAATTTCTTACTAAAAAAACTTTTATATCTTCTTTTAAAAGATTATTACCATATACATTATTAGATCTTACTGGGTTAACCTTACTGTTCAGGTTTTATGCTGCCCATTTTGTGTAATGGGGTTGATTTTTTCCAAAGAAACATCAGCTTCATAATCCAAGATACCCGACAGTGCTGGAGACATTTTCTCCATTGTCTTAGACAGTTCCCCTTCTTCCTCCTTTTTTAGAGGTTCTTCTTCTGGACAGATAATTGAATGTGGAATCAGATACACCAGATTGCACTCTTTGGGGCTAGACCCTTTGGGCTCCTGTTGGCTTGAAAAAACAACTGCTCCGTTATTGTTGATACTAACAGTCTCTATAGCATTGTTGGACACAGGGCAGAGCCTGTAGCATCCTAGCAGGGTAGAAAATGCCTTGCGGAAATCAGCATTGAAGGCATAAATGATGGGGTTCAGGGACGAATTAGCCCATCCAAACCAAACAAAAACATCGAAGGTGGTGGAACTAATGCAGAAGGGTTCTGCTCCCTTGGACGGTTGGGTAGGCTCGCAGAAAGGAACCATGCAGTTCAATATGAAGAATGGCAACCAGCAGCACACAAAGACCCCCATGATCACTGACAAAGTCTTTAAAACCTTTGTTTCCCTCTTGAAGGACATTTTGAAGTTGCTCTCTGGCTGCTGACAGTCCATGCTGCTTCTATTGCCGCTTGTGTTCTGGCAGTTCTTGGCATGCACGGCTGCTCTCTCCAAAGCTGAGATTCGTCTTATTTGCTTCTGAGCAATCCGATATATCCTCGTGTAAGTTACTATCATGATGGCCACAGGTATATAGAAGCTAATTAGAGACGAAGAGATGGCATACATCCTGTTTAGGCTAGAATCACAGTTGTCCATGCTTATACCTTGTAAACTGGCATTTAGGTCCAAAAAGCTTGTGGTTGTAGCCTTGTGCCAGTTCAGCTGCACAGGGATGAAGGAAATCAACACAGACAAGGTCCATGCCACGCTGATCAGGATGAAGGCTGCCTTGGGGGTCATTTTCCTCTCATACCTAAACGGACTGGAGATGGCCCAGTATCTATCCACGCTAATGACACAGAGATTTAAGATGGAGGCTGTTGAGCACATAATATCAAAGGCCACCCAGATGTTACAAAACGAACCAAAAGGCCAGAAACCAGCAATCTCAGCCACAGCTTTCCAAGGCATGACCAAAACTGCCACTAAAAGATCTGACACTGCCAAGGAGATGACAAAGAAGTTGGTCACCTTGGACCTTAGGTGGCGAAACCTAATGACAGCTGCACAGACCAGCGTGTTTCCCAGGAGCGTGGAGAGGATCAGCAGCGAGAGGAAGCAGCCCGTGAGGATCCGAAAGGAAGAGTCCCTTTCCACAAGCAACCCTTCCCCATCCATAGTGGTATCGTTCCAAGTCATAGTTTCTCCTGAGGGGAAATCATATCATGATTTTTGTGACGACAGCAACTGCTTTCCTTGCAGACATTAGAGACATCAGGCGTCCATTAATTACTCATCACCAAACAGTGAGAGGTCCTTGCTTGCACCTTCACCCCTGAATGGACTTCATCCACTTTGAGTTGCCCTGAATGATATTGAGAGCTCTCTAAAGAAGGAACTGAAATGCACAAACACAGTTAACTTTGCAGACTAGTATTGAAGCAATCCCTTCAGAAACACCCTGCACCACCCCGGCACCAAGTAGCCCAATTCAGACAGATCACCTGCGAACGCTCTGCCGCTCTCCTCTCCAAATACACCCCACAGACAGGAAAGCAATCACTTTTCCATGCTTGCATATATTCCCACTTAAATAAGCTATTGATCGAGAGTTTCCAGCATCCATTTCGCTAGCCCTTCATATTTACTGAAGCGTTGCACTATTTGAGGTGCTTTTTCTCTAGTTTAGTTTCCTACATGTCTCACTGATGAACCACTCCATCCCTCCTCCTCAGCACATTCGTGTTAGAAAATGCATCAGTTCTCTGCTTATAGGCAGCAATTCTTCACCTTGTTTCAAACTGTTTAAGTTTTACACTTCCAGAGAAAAGGAAAGCAAACATACAGTGGTTGGTGTTTTAAAGGTTTTCAGCAAGAAGCAGCTCAGGTTATTTAATTTTATTTAAATGAGAAATTCTGTCTCCTACCTTTCACCTTTGATTCTCTGTTTGATCTGGGATGCAAGGCCGTCTCTTCTTATTTAGTTTTGGAATTGCATAGCAAATCTTATATACAAAACCAGTGCAAAAACACTGCATTGCATGGGGCATGTGGGTTTGCTTTTTTTCCCCTGAACATGCAACCTGGCAGGGGAGAAGTAAAAACAAAAGCCGCCGGAGGGTGATCATGAGGAGTTAGTTTTCAAGCGAGCAGCAGGTCTGCTTCCTTGGACCCTGCGCCAAGAGCCCTGCCAGTCTGTGCCCAGCTCTTCCCAGCCCACGGCCCCTAGTGCTCAGTCTGCAAACTTTGTCCGTCCGAGCCGCACTTTGTACATCCCGGGGAAGCAGCGCACCAGGGCAAGTCATCCCAGGCAAAAGGCACGGTATTCCCAGCACTGGCGAGAGTGGCGTCACAGTTCACTGTCTTGCACTGGAAGAAGGACGAGAGACGGAGGAAGAACCTGAGTGACCTCCCGTCGGCCACCAAACGAGGTGCGAAGGCGGCGGCCTCGGCGCAGGAGCGCGGGCACGTTCTTCGGCCAGCGGGGAAAAGTTGCTTCAGCACTTTGCTGCGAGCTCGTAGCTCTCCATAACTACGGCGGAGTAATCCCACCTCGTGCTCGGCGGGGCTGCGCTCCGGGGACGCGCTCCAGCTCCTTGATGCTCTCGCCCTTACCAGCAGCCCAGGTGCAGGGAGCTCGCGGGGGTCTCCCGCGCCCTGCCCCGCGCCGCGCACCTCCAGCGCCGGGGACTCCCG